AGGTCTTTTAAGAAGAGTCATGGCCATGATCAGAATTTTGACTGGAACTGATATGGATGATGATGGTAATGACGATGATAATAATGAAGATGATGATGTCAGATGATTATGATGACAATCAAACCATATGGTAACAAATGTAATTTCTATAAAAACATATAAAATAGTGGTTACATATTAACTCTAAGCAAAAATGAGACTCAGCAAAGCAGATATGCTCACCTGGTACGTTAAAGAGGAACCGATCACCTACTATATGCATGGTGTTGTCTTTATAAAGGACAATTTTTGACAAGATGTAATAGAAGTCGATAGGTATTGCACCATGATAGAATACCAACACTGCTCCTGAGTTTGTAGGAAGTTTTTCAAGACCGTTTATTTCATAACCTGAAATACAATTTTTTTTCAATTTAAATTTTACCCAAAATGAGGAAAGTGCAAGACATTCAATTGATTTTATCAATACAGTTTCCAGTGCAATTATTTAATTTAATTTAATTTTGGAGAAGCATAAAATATTCTAACTCAACTCTATACAGTACATTTGTCGAACTTGAAAACAATACATCTTGGCATACTCCAGTTATTTTGGTAATGAATTTCATCATACAGTACACCAACATTATCAGAAATGTATCCAGGAAACCTATAATGATATGGTGGATGTAATTAACTTACCATGCCATATTTTGCCTTGCACCTCCCAAAATGTAGCAATGCTGACCTTTGCCGCATCCCAATACCCTTTGGAGTATGCATCAACAAGTTTGTGTCGTGACTTGTAAAAATGAAGGAATAGAATACATCCATAAACAAAGACCAGTATAACAAGCGGCAAAAGGAATGTGATAGCAACTGGAGTGGACAGCCATAGAACCCAGGACACAACTTCAAACTGTTCTATAATGTCATGCAAAGCCACAACAACAGTTAGGTTTGAAATTGCTTCTAACATACTTATCTGAAAAATAACAAGAAAGTAATTATAAAACATACAGTGGCCTCTTTTAATAAAAAGGGTTACAGGTATCTTTATCTTAAAAAAGAGCACCACTTCCTTGCTAAACTTTCATTTAATGGCTTTCATACGAATCATTTCTCTTTCATGACAGAGTCTAGAAAGTTCAAATTAACAACTCCCTTTTATCGCCTCGAAAACTAAACTTCCTAAATGAAACAATAATTATCAAAATCTCGGTCAGGATTATATTTTTAACAAATTGAAATAATACTAATGAAATATTATACAGTACTGTATTTCACAAGTGTCAAGACTACAGTAGCAACGGAAAATATCATGTTGACCATTTTTTGGACCAAATGATTGGGTCGTGAAAAAAAATTAATAGGTCGCATAATCTCTTCAGATCGTGAAAACTTTACTTAACACGAACGACAGACAAAATAAAATTACAGTAAAAAAAGTGCATTTTAACTGTGAAAAGTGCGTCAGTTTACTTTTGTATGCGTGCATTAGCAGTTTCATGTTAAAAATATACTGTACTATCAAAACATTTATACTTCAGGTATGACAACTTTTAAGTGTTAATTTTGTTCATTTCAATGTGTTAGGCTTTCAGCTGCAAATTATAATGTGAAAATATTTTTTAAATTTAATGTGTCTATGTTTTCGCACTAGGAATCATTGTAGATCATTAATTTTTTTAAATTTTAACTATTGAAAAATTTGATAACTTATGTAGTTTTGTGAAATGAGTAATTCAAAGTTGTATTTTCATTTCTATGGCTTTTACATAGTGATTTTGTGGGTGATAATATCTTTTAACCAATTCACAAAAAAATCAAGTGGGTCGTGCTTCCCCCTATTCCGAGCGTGTATAAAACGACAGACGTTTAATTGACTTCGGGGTAAGTTTGCTGGGTCGCATCTGAGTGCTGTAGTGGGCTAAAAAGGTTGCGGAACGGGGCTTTATGACATATAAAAATCAGATTTTCTTAAGAACCGAAATGTTGCCAGGCATGGGGCTTTAACATATTTTTGCGATGGATATTCTTCCAACAGAATCAACCAGGCTCAGATTTGACTAAAACCATCGGATCAATACCAACTTTATTGACAAGCTAACGAACGTGGATGCCACCCACGTCATACTTGCAAGAGCTAAAAAACCTACTTAGGACAACAAGAGCCTAAGTTTACCATATAAAGATTGCAAAACAAAAATAAAAATTAGGCAAAGCAGGGTAAAAAACCCCTACTTTAAGTTTAGTAACTCAATAAAAACAGGAATTACAATGTACATACGACCCGGGATGATCAGGCCCTTTTTCAAGACGGTCGGGCCCAAATTGAAAATGGCACGATCGTCCTGAAAATTTGCCTGATAGTCTGGATTCTTCTGGGCGACCGCCAAAATATTACAGCACTCACTCAAATGTTCTCTCTCACTAGCCTCTAGTAGGCCTAGGGCCTAGTGTAGTAGTACTAGTAGGCAGGCCTTTTAGAGATCAGCCTAAAGTAAACCCAAATTTAAAAGGCTATTTTTCTGCTATATATATAAATGCACATATATCAGTAATGCAAGCATGCATGGTATGTGACAATTATTTTGTCTGCATATTTACCTTTTATTACTAATATTCTATTGTAGAGTATCAAAAAGGATGCCGTACCGACGACGGAGTCCTACAAATTTCAATTTCAATGTTGTGGTGGCTTGTGACCTGCGCGGATGAAAAATAAAAGGTCAGGTCAAATGACTTTTTTCCTACTCACACACACACACATTGAGCCAGGTCACCGACTGAGTAGTAGGAGCTCGCTGCAAACAAACAAATCTGAACGTTTGACTTGGATACAAAACGTTCAAAATTATGTAAATGTGCACACTGACCCCACACATTATATAGAAAAACATGCAATGGGGATGGAAGAGCCAAGTAGAAAAAAAGGATCCAAAAAGGTAAGAGAAAATTTTGTCTTTTAAATGATTTTTGCAGGCTGCCTACCAACTCCGTGATCCATCTGAATCTGAGAACCGCGAACGATTCACAAAAATAGGTCATGATTTTGTTTTTACTGTTTCTGCCTCCTGTCGTTTATTTTATACTATAGAAATACCACATTCACTTCCTTTATATATCCAACTATGAATAACTGTTAATGAAACATCGATATCAGTCGATGATTTGAAGAAAATAGCGACCACACCCACACTAGTAAATGTCAACATGGCTGGGTGGATGTGCAGTTACCACACACTTTTTACTGTACAGCAGCCAGCAGTGGATAATTTTCACTGGGAATTGTCAAAACAAGGGCAGAATTTTCATGAAGACTTTGCTTCATTTCATCAAGGAGGTATATTAATTTTTATGCCTGCTTGATTTCATTAATGTAGCCCATGGCCTAGTAAAATCATTATTAGTTCACGCAGTGCCTATTATGCTATTGTAAAGTTAACATAAATAGAGTTTATTGTGGACATTGATTGTTTGTCAACAAAATAGGTGATGGTTCGGTGAATGTGCAAGTACAGTAAACGCTTTGCTCAATTTACAATATTGTGCAACAAAATATATGCACAATTCAAGCTGAACAATATTCACAAAAACCTTGAAACAATTCAGCTGTGCAAGTAAAGTTAAATAGTTACCATAATTTTTTGTTACTAATTAAATAAATGATAAATTAATAAGCCTGTGAAGAAAAATGTAAGTTGTTATATATTATATTCATCAATTGATGACTTTAAAATAATTGTTAATACAATTGGGCTTCAAGCAGTCTATAAATTTATGGAAAATGATCTAAGACCAAGTTTAAAGTTCATTGTTTATTATTATGCGTTATTTCAAAGACTTCTATACATTATTACGTTTACAAATGACGCATTTGATAGTGAGTATTACTGTAGTCAGAATTGGATAACAACTTTGTTGTGGAAATCAGGTCGTTGATATTTTCAGTATTATTGTTTCCAAATACATTTCATTAACCAATTATTTCTGCAACTTGTTTATTTTCAATGACTGTCGTATAGGCAGTCACTGAGTGTACTGTATGTTTCAATTAAACTATGTACTATTTATTTACACAGCAGCCTGTCATAAAAGGCCTCCTTCCATCTGCCTCTGCAACATTGCAAGAAACTGATCTGTCTGATTCAGCAGAACGAAGAAGATTGCATACAACGGTTCTTAATCCACCAGAATATAGAATAGATGCTGCCATCCTAATTGATAGCTACACTGAATTAGAAGTAAAGGTAATCATCTTTGTTGTCATTATTGTTTGTCATAATCATGATGATCATCATACATTTTAAACATTTGGTAATATAATTTAATATTATTATTAATATAAAAACAATTTATTTGTCTTTTTGAAGATATATTGTCTGTTGAGAAACCTGGACAAAATCTCAAAATTTTTAGACTTTAACTACAAAAATCATTGAACTGTTTACCAGCCAATCTAGGGATCTATGCAAAGAACAATTTTTATGTATCTGTTTACTTGGTGAGAAATATTTGAAAATATTTTCACTACATGATTTTCAATTGAAGGCATTTAAATTGCCTATTCATAAGGCATTTGAGTACTGATTTAGAAAGTGTGTTGAACCCATCATGATAATATTGGAATTGTATCTACCTAAACTTTACAATATTGACTACGACTAAAATTGTACAATACCAGCGTCAGTTACCAAAACATGAACACTTTAATATATTCACCATATTAAATATAAGCTTTAAAATAATAGGTCTTTTACTGGAATTAACTTACTAATGTTAAAGTTATGAGAAAATCAGCTTCTCTATAATCTATAATACCTCCATGCTGTAGTAAAGTATTCAATACTGTCACATTCTTACGCTAATTACTCAGTTTTGGGATGGCAAGCCCCAAACGATATGTTCACTGCTCTAATCTTGATTGTAGATCTTGATGTTCATTTTATTTGTTTTTAATTTTTAGTATTTAGGGGTCATAACAGATGTCCCTCATAACCTGGATGCAAGTAAACGTGTAGGGTTATTACATTATGTAGATAAAGGCAGGGTGAGTACACTATTACATTGTACTGGTACTGGTCTATGTAGCTGTTAATATGGTAGTCATTGACTCCTCGACTATGAATAGTTGATGATGACAGACTGTATGAGTTAATGTTTAACAGTCTGTTGCCACAGACAAACCAACTCAACTATTCAAAACCATTGACATCATATACAGTATAATATAACAGATAAAAAACGAAATAACACTAATACATAACTACTTCAGATTTGCATGGAGATTCTGGTCATGATGGCCTAAGATTCCACTCACATTTATCACAAAATAAAAGTTGGTTAAACAGCTTTAGTTAACCTGGGAGCATTAAATAAGTTTTTAAAAGTCTTTGATAATTTATATGATTCTTCGATAGAGAGAGCACAAGTTGGCAAGGAGAACAAAGGACAAGTCTTTAGATGCAGTTGTCTCATTATCAGTCAGGCAATTAAAAATTACAAGAAGGGATGGAGAAGTGAGTTGTTCTTTGCATGATTTTATATATCAAAATAATTAAATAATAAACAAAAACTAATAAATTTGTTGTAATGTGGTATGAGTCATGAAGACAAACTGCCAAAACAGGATCTGAGTAGTAGTTTTGCAGTGGCTGCAATGGGATGGATATGCAAACTTGATATTTTAGCCAGTAGAAGATGTTTAAAGGTTTATTAATTTATGATCATTTTTATTTATTAATAAGTGCTTCTTTAAAAGCTTTAAACTTTTTCAAAATAAAAGAAAAACATTCAATTAAATATGCCATAAATTCCATAAGTGGTTGGTGATATGTTAAGACATGTCCACAATAGACACAAAAGGGAAGTGCGGGGTAAACATAATGTAGCAGGGGAAAACATCTGCCGTAGGGGTATCGGCAGTAGGAGTACATATTTGCAATAGGGATACTATCTACACTTCATGAAAAGTGTCTTGATGAAAATAGATGTTGATATTTAGTGTTTATTGATGGTTTCTTTGATGTTATTTTGTAGGAACCACTGGAAAGACTTGCGATTCACAACATAGCTGCAGTCAGCCATATCCGTGATGATGCTGAACACTTTGTTCTACTCAAAACAGGTACAGTAACACGTAAAATTCATTCATTATTCATGTTTTTATCTTGTTTAAATGAAGTATTAACCCGATTATGCTGGAACCTGGATATTGATGAAAATAAAGTTAATCATTTTCTAGTTATCTTAATTTTTGAACATGTGCAAGTTTAGTGCTTTTACGTACTACCGTATACAGATACAGATGAAGTTTATTTCATCCTTTTTGTGATATTGTTAAGAATAGTAGAATATAGTTGAAGAAGTTTCTCAAAATTCTGTTTTGTCAAATTAAATAGAAAACACAATTGTTTACCTACCCTCAGTCAAACTGTATATGATAATGTACTGATGGTTCCAGTAGCATATTACTGTGAATAATGCAATGCACATTAACAATGAGTATTGTACTGCTTTTGTTAATGTAGTACAGTAGTGTTATTATGTTTTTTTTATCCATCTGGCATTTCAGCTTCTTCAGAAAACCAACCTGTAACTTGCAATTTAGTTGTACTTCTCAGTCCAAACAAGGTAATTGCAATTATCTTTCAAATTATAAAGGAAATTACTGACAAATTTGTCTAAACGTTGTTTTAATAAAATTTTAAGATGATAGAAATCATAAAATTAATTTAATGGAGAAAAAAATGTTTGTGTACACTCGTAATTTCTTTTTATTCATACATTGTATAGGAGCAAGCTGAACAGTTGTGCAGCCTGGTTCATCAGATATTTGATATTGTGTACACTGAACTCACCATGAAATATTTTGATTTCTCCTTGATTGATGTTGGGAAGCCACACTCAACATCAGGTAAGAGCTCTTGTGAAAGTAATAAAAAATATATTATTTTTACACACATTCAAACATATCTAGTCGAACAATTTTTCAATGGCATTTTGGGTTCAACTTAGGCAAGTTCAACTATATATGTAATTATAATTTGAAATAAGCAAGGTATAAATATGAGTTGTGAGTATAGTTATAAGTAGGTCTAAGTTGGAAATCTATATTGATTAGTTACATAAGCACCTAAATTGTATACTGTATGCAACTTACATAATATACTATCGTTGTTTTTCATGCCGTTAAATGTTAATATTGAAACCTTTTAATTTGTTTCAGGGCGAAGCAGAGGAAGCCCTGCAGCAGTTGATGTTCCTTCTCCGTAAGTTTTCACATTTCTTTGAATGCAACTCATAGTGAACTTTGACCTTTAATGTTACATTATATAATCTTAATGACCTCGTAAAGGGTTTCACTTGTAAAATTGCCTGACTACACCCATGCAATACATGCATTTAAAATTGCAGAGTTCTATATATTGCTATTGTGCTCTATGGGGATATGCATATTTTGTGATTTTTTTTACCATGAGATAAAGAGGGAAAAAAAAGAATTACTAGTACAACTATATACTTGTTTAATTTCAGAGCTATTCCTATTTACCCATCACATCCAGTTACAAATGAACACGATTTCAGCAAAACAGTCACTCTGCTTTTAAAGGAATATATAGCAGTGGTAAGTAGCACACCATTGTATTCAGTCAGTTGTCATAGGTTAAAAATCCATTTTAATATTAATAATTTATTTTATCAAAGTAATTTAGTAGTCTGTATATTATTTTATATTTTTATAGTTTTAATACTACTAATGATAGTAGTACTGTAATAATATCACAGGTTTGTGGTGTATAGAACCTAATGCCAAAGCATTTACATACAGTATGCCATTAAACTGTGGGACACAAACCAAGGGGTTGCTTATTAAGGCATTAGGGCAAGGGATAAAACCCCAGATGGGGAAAAATTCCACATTCGGAGACATATTGGTAAACATTTTGCATTTAGGCGTAAAATATTAAGGAACAGCTTCAATAAAAATAACTTCTGATTGGATCAGCAAATTTATATTTTTAGTCTAAGGGGAATTGACCTTTGGTGCCACCTCTAGACACATGGTTAGTACCAAGGGTGAGATGTGTATACACATTTGTATTAAAGGATTTTCATTGACTAATTTTTAATAGCACTTGTTAATATCAGTGTTTTGATTTTTGTAAATTGACAGCTTAGAAGTAAACTGAATGCAGAAGAATTGCAGCAGTTTGCATCCATTTTACGTGAATATCGCCAACATGTTTCTATAGAAGAATTTTGTCAAAGACTACATCATCTCTATGGGGACAAGCGAATGTATCTATTTCCAGGTAACATCAACTATCTTTGTTATTTCAAGAAATCTAAAACGAAAGCTTGAGGATTACCTAAAAGGTTTACCAGTGAAACAGACAATTCATTACATACACAAACATTAAAAGGTGATTCAAAGAAAAAAAAAATGTAAATAATAAATAGAAGTTATTACACACACAAAGGCAATGCTATAAAGATATAACTATAGAAATGTTTAAAAAGCAGATGGTAATGGATGTAGGCTTCTATAGTGCATAATACTAGGTCGCTATGTACTTTCAACAAATGTATAATAGAAGTTGAATAAAAGAAACAATTGAACAGACAAAGGAAAAGAAACAAAAACAATCTACAAAAAAAAAAAAAAAAAATTGGATGATGAGAAAAGATGAGTTCTGACCATTGTAAATTGAATTCACTTTTCAGTAAAAATACAAATTATTTAAAAAAAAATATACTAAGAGAATTAAAATTTACTTTGAGTTCAAATTCAGTTTAATTAGAAACATATTGACTTATTACAAAATAAAACAAAAGTGACTCTAAATAGAGAAAGTGAGGTCATATTACTTTCTCTATTTGGAGTCTCTTTTGTTATAATATATTTGAACATAGTCTCAGTGCACCTTTTGGTTGTTGACTAATTACATATTTCAATGTAGGGGAATTTATTTCACATTCCCTAATACCTGGAGGTAGATCATTTAATAAATAGGGAAATAATTAAAAATAGAAAATTTAAAACAGTTAGTTTATTTCAGCACCGAAAGAAAAACTCAACATGATACAAAAGTCAACAAATACGTACGCACTATGTTAGTATTAACAAAATAGTTTAACCATTAACCACCAACACCCCTAATATACACACTTGAAGCTAATGTTGAGTAGAGTTTGTAAAGTCATTATGCGTTGACATTTAGCCATCAATCTTCCTCTAAAATATGCATTGTGTTGGTAAGGACACATTTTTTAACAGTAAGTCATAAACCCCTTATTATACACGCTGAAGCCAATTTTATGAATAGAGTTAGTGAGATTATAAGAGCATGTATTGACATTTTTTATCAACCACCTTTTAATACTGTACTGTACACACAAAACAGATGTAGAAATGATGAGTAGAGTTCGACAGTTAACATCAATGCTTCTGCAAAACACACATTGACACAATACACCTACTGTATGTCTACTCCAATACAGACACTGAAACCAGTGTCAATGTGTTAAGTAGAAATGATGATGACATGTACTGTTAACATCATACTTTCTGTGAAATGTTTCTATGAAATGCACATACAGTACATACAATAAACATAAATAAAGGTCTCCCTCTAATTAAATACCCCTCCAATTAAAGACCACTTTTTTGTGATCCCAAATTAACAAATATTTTTCATCTCTATTATTCCAATTTGAGACCAAAGCTGCTACAGACCATGGAAACACCGGTCCCAGAAGTGGTCTTTCCAATCCAATCCAGTCATTTATAGAGCACCTTTAATTGGAGGGAGACCAGTATATGTCTGTTATATACACAATTAATTCAACTTTTAAACTGAATTTTAACAAAATCATATATATCACTTCATGCAGGTTTACGACCTTTCATTCCCGAGCGAGATAGTGATTCCTTCGAAGAATTCCTGGATAAACATGTCTTAGGTGGTGCCAACGGTGATGGCATTTATAGCGGCACAGCGGGAAGGAGGAAAATGCGTACATTAAGTGATGGATCTTCATCTACAATTTTGGCAGATAATGGACCATATACACAATCCATTCCATCAGAAATGGATGAATTAGATCGTGCTTTACAAGATGCATTTAATGATGTCACTCAGCTTGAAAACAGTATTGACGACAGCTGAGAGTTACAACCACAATCAATGTTTGTCCTTTTATCTACACTGCTTTGTGTTTTCTTGTATATCATATTTGCATTGAGTATAAATTGTAATGTCTTGAGAAATCTAGTCATTAGATACTGCATCTGTTGTCTTCCAACAAAACTCAGAATTTTACAAATTTATAACATACAAATTGCTGTGCTTTTATCATAATATTCCAATCACAATTTTTGTATCATTCTTATTTCAATTGTATCGAAATCAATTTCTTTTAAGTTTACTATACACATTAATACATTTTATACAGTAATTATTGCCAGTCACTTATTTATTTCAAAACAAATATTTTTTTAATTCAAATCAAATCAAGATAGGCAAATAGAAATAGTAAGTTGCAATGCAGCGTGGGATTGATTGCAATACTTGACCTAAACAAAGTGGTCCAAGAAGTCTTTCACAATTATTTGGAGGAGGGATGCTTAGCTTATGACATCCAGTATGTGTACGGTCATGTTGTTTGTAGTAAGGATAATTGGCAAAGTCCAAAAATAGTCTATACTTCGCATTGTAGATGTGCTCAGAGACACTAATTTAAATTGAGGGCGTGTGTATGTATGAATGTATGTACTGTACATATTGTGCACATAAATAGATGTGTGGGTGTGTGTATGTGTGGACATGTGTGAACAAAAATTCAAAGGACGTTTATCGAAGTACAGTGTTCCTGGTTATTAAGTTGTATGCTTTTTCAAATTGGTGTAAATTTCAGTTTGTATGAGCATAGATCAATGAAATAATAGACTAGTGGAACTAAATAGAAGCATTTCTTTTGAAATGCATGTTTTGGTATACATTTCATGGTTGATGGTTGCCATGAAAAATATTTTTACTATCATATATTGTATATTTTATCAGTAAAGCTCTAAATATTATTGGTGGGTATATTTGGAAGTCACATGCATGTTGACTATTAATAATATGTGAGATGGTTTGAAGAGCAAACTGAATTAAAATTGTAAATAAAATCACATGTTAACTACAGATGTGTTGTATGTTTGTCATTATGCAGTACAATTGTTTATATTATGCATATGGTGGGTGAGTGTGGTCCATCTGTCAGGGAAATGCTGATACCACTGCCGACTCTTAGTACGGTTTCATTCTATACCATGCTATTTCCAAAGGATTGACAGTGCCTAGTGTCAAATTCAGTGTAAAAAGTGAAAGTGATTCTGATTTATGCAGTTCAATATTAACCTAATCCTACTCCTTAATTCTATCAAAACTGTCAATTAACCATCACATTTATACACTCCAGTAGCTAAGAATGGTTTTGTATCGCACCTTGATCAGCAAGGTCATGGATAGAATGATATCTTCCCTTGTAAATTTTATCTACGTACAAATATTCCTTAAATTTCAAAGTTTTAATGTGATTTCTATCCCAACCAATTTCATTCTGCACATTACCAACACTGTCTGTCTTTCAGTCTGAAATAGCTTTTATGTTCTTGCCGGGAGTCGGTAGGTTTAAAGTATAGAAAAGTACTGCAGTGAGGTGAGTGTACTGACAGACAGACAAAGAAAATACTCTTGAAAGTTTACTCTCCCTTTTAGCACAAATCCCATTTTATTTATTTTTTTATATACAAAATAACAGCATAATATTTTTTAAATTGAAATTATAAAATACATAACTTATAATGTACAAAACATGTCATGAAAAAAAACTATGAAATTCTTTCAAGATACTAAAGTATAGTGAAGTGGATTTGTGGTGACGTTCATTGTTGTAATTAATTGTGCTTATGTTTATGATGGGTATGTATTTATGAGAAAGCCTTTGTTTCAATATAATGTTTTTACATCCTTGGGGGATAGTTTACATTTCATTGCTTAAAAATAAATTAAACCAAAAAAAAAAAAACAGTACAACAGATCATAGAAGATGTGACTACCTCCACACAAAAACTTGATTAAAAAACCCCCTTTTTAAAAATCCTATTAACATTTGAAAGAATAAAATAACATTAACATATGATTAGCACATATTTTTAAAAGAAAATGTTATCTTAAGACTTAAGGTAGGAAACAAGTCTTATAATAATATAATAATCGAGAGAAAATTAAATTACTGGTAATTTAAATTACTTTCTCAATAGCCAGAGTTATCAAGGACAGTATTCAGGTAGTGTTTGTAAGCATACCATAACTCTCAATGGAATTCTTGTGGAATATACTACACCATAAGAATTTTGATTTGACCTATTGATCATTATGAAAAAGAACCACAGAGTCAAAAGTTACGATATCTGAAATAACCCTCAAAATCCTAGCACAAGATATATATTCCTATTTGAACACTTTTTGATAAGGAATCGCCCATAACAAGCATGGAATCCATGATGGGATACCATGACTAAACATAATTGTATGATTCAAGTTTTGGGCGAGGTTTTCATTTGTCATTTATAACCATAGCTTCCTGTTTGCAAAGTTTCCTCCCATCTTTACTGCAGGCGTAAAATTCCTGAATATTAATACACAGTTTTCCTACAAGTTCTAGTATAATTAGTAGCTACTGTCACTCATCAAGGCATATACATACAGTAGATGCATCCATATGATACCAGTGGTTGAATGACAGATGTAAAACCTTTATTTTTAACACTCTTGTATAACTTTGTGGACATGCTATACAGTAATAACAATTTAATATATAATGATGTATTAAATTCTTGAAACTTTCAAACATTCTTGTTAGAAACTGGCCTTATTTTAAAAGGATAAAAAGAAAAGTTAAAAACTGAGATACAGGTCAGAAAAATCCTGAAGCTCTGTCCATACTATCTTATGTGACAAATTTGTGTGATGTGCCCATATATGGGCATGATGTCATGCTACACCCAACTATAGGCATATCACATGTATTTGTCACATAAAATTTGATAGGTGGACAAAGCTTAAAGCTTTGTCCAGACTAGTAAATGTTATTTGACATGTGACATGCCTAAAATATGGTCATTATGACATCACATCATATAGGCACATTGTGACTAAATATGGGCATATAGGCCTATAACAGTTTTTGATAGTGTAGAATAAGCTTAAGGTTGATTGCCAGCAAATTTAAGGGGCTTGTTATATGCACATGTCAACTGGCAAGGTAACTATTTTCTCATTATGACTTATAATGTAAAAAGTAATAACTTATCATTTTAATAAGCAATTCATATACTGATTTTTTTTTTTAATGTTTACATTATTATTGTATCTAAACAGACTATAAACGAATAACAATAAGTTTTTGAGAAAATCATATTCTCCCCTGGGATTCGAACCCAGGAAACCCTGAAGTACTCTCCGGTTGCTCTACCAACTGTACCAAGTCCAAGCTGGTACTGTATGCTCCTTTGGATTTTCACATTCAGATGTTTTTCTCAAGGTAATGCTAATATGCAGTAAATAATAAAGATATTAATCTTTTTAATGTATAAGATACATTGCACTATGAAGTAGAATCAAAGCCTACTTGGCTTTCAAAGGTAAAACATCAATTAAGTATTGCGATATTCATCTTGGATTGGTAAAAGCACCTGATTCAGCGACTTATATCATTACATCATTTGGAATTTAAGATGAGAATTGTCCATATTTGATAACTTCATGTGACATACTGCATCAAATATCACACTCAAGGTACTACAGATGGCCTTAGCTTGGGCCTGCAAGCAAATTAAATACAAGTTAATAATAGGCCTAAAATGTAATCATTTAAAAGACTTTGAAAAACATAATGTTGGATCCAGCATTTATAAATAGTCAAAAATTAAATTTTAGTTTTGTGCTGCAACTCACTGAAAGTTTTTTTCTTTCTTTAGTACTATATGATATTTATTTTTTGAATACAAGAAATTAATATAATAATATTAGGCCAAATATACTTCATTTTGCAGTGGTTAAAGATGAGAAGAAACAAGAGATATTCCAGTTTTTTACTTTGTCTAGCAGTCCTACACACTTACCTGAGAGTCGCATTCAAACACTATACAATCATATACATTATCTGCTTCTTTATTAACTTTAACAGCAAGTAATTGCCTCCCAATATCATCTTCATAATGCACAACTCGTATGACATCCACCAGCCTGAATCGATTACGTACAAGCTACAAGAATAAGATAAGGATACCAAACTCTTTTTAAATGTTTGTAAGACAGTATTCGTATCGAGATGTGTTTAAATTTACATTCCTTAAAATTCACTTAGGTACTAATGACAGCATACTGATGACAGCATACTGCAGGCACAAAACTTTCAAACTATCAAAATATGACATGCCTAAATATGGTCATGATGACATCACATCATGACCATATATAGGCACATCAGACTATATATGGGCATACAATAGTTTTTGTCAAATATAATTTGACAGTCTGGAGAGGCCTCTACGCTGTGCATACCTATGTCTGTCACCATTCATTCTGTGCAACTTAACAACACGATGCTGTCTGTTGATTGTCAGTAGAGAGCTTTCAATTGCACGACGACGGTAGGACGTAGAATGTAATGACGTCACTAAGTCATCTGCGCATGCAAGAACGTTAAGTTCTCTTCGCTGCATGCATTCTAGGACGTAATTTGGCCAAATCTATGTATGCAGAGAAGGTAGGATGCCTGGTACGACGGTCAAGCATGAATTATTTCGTTCTAGTGTTGCGTCGTAGCGCAAATCAAAAGCTCCCTAGTGATAATCTGAGGGCATCATCGTTGGCAATCGTGTCCATCTTGTAAAGTCGCATACATTAGGCAGTCTTCATGGAACCATGTCAGCTGAATTGTGAGCCCAAGTTTAAAGATTATTAAGAAATTTTAAAAAAAGCTGTCAAAGCATCAGTTTTAAATAATCAGATACTTTGTATTCAAATCTTGGGAAATGAGAATTACCTTATCAACATGGGGGTGGCCGTCACTCACTTTGATGCCATATTTTGATAATGTAAGTCGAACAGGATCGGTATCATCAGTAGCAGATTTAAACTTCCCTTCACCCTGCAACCAAAATGACACACTTTTAATAACTGAAAGAATTAATGAAAGTAAATAAGGCAAAAAAACAATGTCTTGTGTTGGCCTCGTTTAAAAAGAAAAAAAACCAAAAAATGGATTAGTCTGTAGGAAATTTTTTTCTGACCAATCTACAGTGTTTATGCGTAAAAATTAAAAATACACAAAAATACAACAGACCATTTTAAAATCTTCTGTATAAGGAAGAGCAAAACGATCGCATAACACTGTCGCACAGCCTACCGTCTAGCAAGATAGGCCTATTTTAACCTTTTTAGCTCATTTAAACAAATATTTTTTCAGTTTCAGTCAACAAAAAAAGAAAAAAAAAGGGGGAAAAAACCTAAAATGCCTAACCTCAATTTTGTACATTTTGGGTTGGTCAGGCATGGCCAACACAATAATTTTTTTATTTGGCCTTACTATAGTTAAAGTATATTGTACACTGCAGTGCATTTTATGATACATGTCCTCTTTGTTGTTTATTCTTACTAAACATTCATAAACCAAATCAATCATGCAAAACTGAACTGTTATCTGTACCTTAGAGCTAAGTCAACACTACTAACAATGGTATTATTTAGAAATGCTCTACAGTACAACAATATACAGTACTGTTGTATATTGTAGACCAGAGTTTCGCAAACTTTTTACTTCACAGCCTATTTACGATTCCAGGCACCAAGCCACGGCCCAGCAGCCCAGCCACACCAGGGATAAACATACCAAATACTGGCAAGAACTTTTGATCATGAATCTTCCATGTATACAATATTTTGACATTATTATCTGTTCTCTCCGCGACAAAATTTCATTGTATACAAATTAAATAGTATTTTATTAAATAATACTGTATATTTGTATAATCATGAATACAGCAATAAAACAAGCTCACCTGTGCTGCATCAAGGACATGAATGAGGTCAATGTGGTCTTCTTGTGAGGGCGGTAGACCTTGGGTTTCCTTTAACATTCCTATGTAACACACTCTAAAATCGGTGGTTAAGTCCAATGGATTCACACCTGTGATACAATAACAGTTTTTAGATATTATGATAAAGTAGGTATACAATCATTTATAACAAAATCATAAACTTTCGGTACACCATGTGTAAAAATATGGGTTTTGAGGTAAAACAAGTGATTGGTTGTGTCTGTCATATATTTTAACACATGATGTACCGAAAGTTTATGAATATTTTTACACATGGTGTACCTAAAGTTTACGAATATTTTTATATCACGGTGTACCAAGGTTATAAATATTTTTATAAATGGTGTACTGAAAATTTATGATTTTGTTATTGATACTTGCCATGCCAACCTTTAGGAAATACACAATGATTTACTTTGATGTGGTCATACTATGTATTAAGTACTGTAGAGAATCTATGTCGGTTAGTAATAATGTAAGTCTTCACTTAGTTGCCATGTGTAGATGGAACTTATTTTCATCATCTAATTCAATTAGGCCTACTGTACTAATATGCATGAGGCTAAAGAGGGGAGCATTTTAGATTTAGGAAGGTTTATTCTCAAAAAAATTATTAAATACTGTATATACTCGCATGTAAAGGTGATCAACGTATAAGACGACCCCCGAGTTTGCAAAGATTTTTGGATGATCTTTGCATGTCAGCGTCGGTATTCCTAATTTTTACTGCTTTTAATGGTCAATTGAATCTTGATACTGCATCTATCTAGCTGGTTAAAAACAGAGTCAAATGTAGGGCCAATCTTCCAAATATTACCATTTTATGGGGTTTTATATATTTATCAAATTCTTATTTCCCTCATTTAAAATTGTTTTTGTGTTGCGCATATAAGACGATCCTCTGTTTTTCGATTGTAGTTTGCTATTTTAAGCCTTGTCTTACACCAGAGATCGAGAATATACTGTATGGTACAGTATTTTCAGAAATTTGAAACTGGAAGGGAAGCAAATTAACTATCCCAAACAAATGTAAGTACTTGATATTCTTGGTTCATCAGCAATGTAACATTTTACTAACTGTACACAAGAATCAACAGACAATAATACAATGACTTCCCATGTGCCCTACTGACAATATATAATCAAATGAGAGATGACTGATCATACAAATTTGCTTCACATTTTAAAACACAATATCTTACCATGCCTTCCATTGCTGTTAAGTTGTGTACGCATCACTCCAACTTCTCCCTGTCAACAAACAATCATTGTATTTTACATTAAAGTTATATATTAATAATATATATCAGGCATTACCTTGATTAATATTATTAAAATACCGGTAGAGGTGTATTTACATACCAAAGTTGATTACTAATCTCCTGAGGCTTGGAATAGCATTTGAAGTACTTGGGGATGGAATTCAACACTAGCCACTAAACGTAAGCTCGGTGGCCTAGTGGTTAAGCACACCAGGCCAATTATCTGAAGGTTGTGTGTTCGATTCCCATCCGAAATCATTTGCAAGATTGTTTTTGCTCATATCTTTTGGAAGGGCACCTAATAAACGACTGTTATTATTATTATTATTATTAATTTTGGAACACATCAGGTAGGGCAAAACATCAATACTAATTTCCTGATGCAAGAAACAACCGGAATAGCAAACCAAAGTTACTGTCAAGCACTCTTAAATGTGAGTTTATTTATACCCAAGAAACCACAGAAAAAATGAATTAAAGCTGACCTCATCAAGTTGAACTCCTCTGTTTTCATGGCCGCTATTGGACAGAATATTGAAGGAATGATCCCTGTCAATCGGCACGATAGAATCTCGACTTCCACCATGGGCATCCCGGCGGCGGCGCCTACGAAAAATACATCCACAACATCCACTCATCGAAAAGTGTGGTCTTGTTTGCAACCAATTTCAATAACAAACAAGACAAAAGTGAATTTGTTTCATCGTATTATGTTGCATTCAAGTTTCACCTCAGGTCAGTTGTTTTGATTGAGATCGAATCAAGAAATCCTCAAGCTGGAGAAACAGTTGTTAAGAGTCTGTCAAACAATAACAACTATTAATGATCAGTAAGACATGGACGATACAGTATGCGATCAAAAGAAACACAATCTAATGATTTTTAAAATTACGATATTTTATTTCTTCACTGTATAAATCTTTGATATACTGTACAGTAGCATATCATACATCCATAAATGCATACAGTATTTCCCATGTATGAATGTATTAAATCCAAGCGTGTGCATACCCACGGGTGTTGATGTACCGTACTACTGTATGTATACCTGTACCACACAGTAAAGTATTTTTTTTTGTGCTGAGGACATTTCAAAAACCAACTCAAATTTGCGTGGAAAATCACTCAGAAAGTAGGTGTGCAGAATCATAACTACTGCGTTTTACCTACACTGAGATAGGCCAAGGTCCAACCTGATGGTCCAACGTCCAATGCTTTATTTCCAAGATGCACTGACGGAATTCCAGGTCTAATTTTTGCGTGTAAGCACACTATTTTACTGATTGGTCCCTGCATGCACTGCGTATGTACTGTTTCAAAAGGGCGGTATATCAATGTGTGCGTATTAAAGCCCCATTCCCAGCAAAATTTCCTTTGTTAAGAAAAACCTGATTTTTGTATATGTTTTATATGATTGATATTAATATTAATTGGTATTAATAATAATAATTTTTATACTTCCTTGGTCTATGTAGACTATGAGTATTAGTATTTATTTTAAATTACCTACGCTCCCTCCTAGTTTTCAAGACTAGGCCTAGGCCTACAAGGGAGTTGTTATACTGACAAAGATACAACTTGAGCCCCTCTACAACTAGCTAGGCCTAGCCTAGACAGGGATGCCTGTCTCTCATAATACATAGCCAAGGTCACGGCTGGTCGTTCTGAGATTCAAAAATAATCCCTAGGTCCATGCTACACTAGATTACTGTACTACTACTACTAGGCTTAGGATAGCTAAAAACAAACTAAAAGGCAAACAAAAATAGAGCGACTCAGCGTACATACTTACGCTTATGTATTTAGCAGTATCCAGTGGTATCTAGCAACATTTACATCGTATTTTGGCTACGACATGTTGTGTTTCTCTTTGGCCGACGTGCGCACTAGTCTCTGTGGTGAGTGCGAATATTACTAGCCCGCACCGGATGTGCGATTTACGTTTTATCGTTTCCTATTATATGATTTGTGTGATCGCAAACCTAGGAAGTGCGTGACACATCGCCCTAACGGAGCTAAATAGATGGCGATAAACACTTGACAATGTGGGTGGAGTCAATCTATTAGTAATAATTAGCAGATCTAGGCAAAGCCAGATAATTAGCAAACATCTCACGGCGAATTCTTTTTCATAACACGATAGATTGGAAGCAGACACACGGTAATTCAATCAGGAAGCAATGTAAGCCTACAGGCTTATACCTATGTTAATAATAATAATAATAATAATAATAATAATAATAATAATAATAATAATAATAATAATAATAATAATAATAATAATAATAATAATAATGTAGTTTTATATAGCGCACAAATCCATCTAATGTAAGTTAAATTACTACTAAACGGTAGACATGGTAGATTATGGTATGGTAATTTTCTAAATGTCTGCCAAAAAAATCGGGAATAAATTGAAATGAACACCTTTTAAAGGGATCAATTAAGCTACCTAGCTAAAATATTACGAGGATGTTAATGTTGTAGAACCTTAACCTTTGTTTTAGCTCTTGGCAAACAGTGCATGCTTTAAGCATGCCTTGATCAACAGGACAATCAGGAACAAAAGTTCATTGTTGTATGAAAGAGTGTCTTGCGGGACGAGACCAGGCAGAATGAGAGTGAAAACGGAGGCCATAAAGAGGATTTACAAAGATGGGTTGACTTTTACAGATCGAAGACGATTTATCAATCCAACGTCGAGACTCTCAAAACAACTAACTCAGTAGTTCTTTTCAGAATTTATGTGGTGTCCGCAAACATTAAATATATATACTATTAGTTAGGCCTATTATAATCTCTTTACTACGGTGAAAATAAAAGCTATTTCCTCATCATCAAGTATTATTGTAATTGTTGTCGGACTATCAAATTTACCTGAACGATTTTTCAAAATATTATTAGGCCTATCTACTATTGTGCTTGTATAGCGCACTGCTATGCGCTTTCCAGAAAATTATAGAGAAAAGTGAAAAGGAGAGCAACTAAATGGACATTGATAAAAATAAGTCAAATAGGAAAATATTGAAGAAGAAAAACTAATCAGACTGAACTTGAAGGATCTGTCACCGAGGAGCCCCTCGAACGTTCAGCCGGGCAGTTTATTTGATCCAGACTTTAGGAAAATTCAAACGACCTGTTGAAGCCAAATTGTTTGAGTGAAGGGCGAGCTGTCGCAGGTAACAACAGGACTTAAGGGCTGATCTAGACTCCTAGAGAAGTCCGAAAGGGAGGTGGTGGGAGGGCTAATAGTGGGGCCGATCGAGAACACCCCAGGGGTCCGGGGCATGACCCCGCGAAAATTTGGTGCTCTGACGCTCGAAAATAACCTATGATTTGCTTTGGGTGAATGATCAATGTTTTTTTTTTCTCTTCCTTCTATTTTCTCTATGGTTACAGTTTGCTGTAAAACCTCGAATAGAAGCCCAATGGGCTTAATCTCGAGAAGAGCCTAACTCGAATTGAAGCCCCTCTTTAGTTTGCGAAAGTAGTCTCGAAAGGATAGCTTCTTATATACAGTACTGTAGTTTCCAAAACTGTACTAAAATCGCGGGAAACGTAGTCAACACGTGAGGGCGGGTGTCAAGCTTTTACACATCATCCAACCATACCGTGTGCGCAGTGTGGCTTCTGGATCAGAGAGCTTTTCTTTCTAACCAAAGCGCGACGAGGGAGGAAGAAGCTTTTGTTGTGTTTGATGGCTGTTGTAGTACTAGAGGCCTGGGCCTAAACTTGTTACGCAAGGCAAGGAAGTGGCCACTATTTCCAATTTCGGTTAGCGGAACAAACTTTTCAAATATGACTTCAAGTGACGTTTTCAAAATAGGCAAAAGGCTTGAGCAAATAATATCTAAAAATGAGGTATGTTATTTTTTAAATAAGTTAATATTGTGGTTCAAAATAAAGTGACATCACCATCAGACTAGGCCTAGGCATACGACGCATTACAAAACAGGTTATTTCTCTCTGATGGCCAGTTTAGACCTCTCTCTAATACAAATGTGTGCGTGCTAGCCAGCCTAGCTGTTTGATTGTTTACTTTATTTATTGGATGCAATTGGTGATCGGATTGTGCTTTTAAAGTTTTTATAATAAATACGAGTTTTATTTGGTACGGCTTCTGGAACACATGTTATGAATATGACTAAGAATTTATAATATTAATGTACAACCTGGATCTACCAACCCGGGGTGGGGGGGGGGTCGCACGCAAGCATTATAGGTGGTCAGTCAGTGGACAAAGTGTCAGTAAAGGGAGTCTGTGAAATGAAAGATTACTGTGTTCACAAAAAGGGGTATTTTGTCATCAACTATGTTCTGTATAATTTTAATATACATTTTTAATATATATTTTTTTTAATATATATTTTTGGTACTGTACCAAAATATAATGTATGAACATAATTTATCATTAAAAATTGTTTTAGTTTTATGGACTTACTGAATCGATCAAGTTTTAGTAGTAGAACAGTTGTTTAAAATGTAACCAGATTTTAATACAAATGCTAAAAAGCCTTGTGTGTGCTTTTGAGTAAGTGGAATACTGCCTTATTTATTTCTGTATTCCTATAATCAGAATGCAGATGAAGCATTAGATTTGCTGAAACGTCTCAAAGAACTGCCTATCACCCTGGAAGTACTTCAGGTAAGAACATCGTCTTATTTAAACTTGAATAGAATAATTTTCTACAGTCTTAAGTACAAATAAAAGAGTGTTACTTGTTTCAGTTTGATTAATAAGATAGGAATATGAGGTAAATTATCTGACTTAAGGAATGGCATATTGTTTTGATGAATTGTTATTTTATCATTAAAGAATGTATTGCTTTTTTATTATTTAATGTTAACATGTAAATTATGACCACCTTCATTTCACTGTTTACTTTTTAATATACTGTACCGTTGCTAATGCAACATGTAATTTTAAACAAAGAAAGAGTTCTATTGTTCAGTGTTTGTTTTTTTTTTATATATCTAGAAAACAAGAGTTGGAATGTCTGTAAATGCATTGCGGAAAAAGAGTAGCAATGAAGAAGTGAATGGGATAGCCAAGTCATTAATCAAAGCCTGGAAAAAATTACTACCTGGTAGGTATAGAAATTCTTATGAGAGAGGAATAAAAGGGAACTGTATAGGGAGCCACTACTGGTTTGTCCTCAGACATTCTAAATATGTATACATAAATACTGTAGAAATACTGTTAGAAATATGAAACATGGAAGTGTAATGTTTTTGTATGTAGTATAATGCAAAAGTTTTAAATGGGTAATAGAAAGTAATACATTAATTTTTTTAATAAATTAAATTTTCAAATAACTTAAATTTATATACATTTTTTTAGAATAAATTACAAAAGTTTATTTGATAATTCAATTATAATTATGTTTCTTTTCTTAAAAATCAGTGTCAAATTATTAGGTCAATATCTGTGTATCATGCCTTGCTTGTAACTTGACAACCCCATGATGTTTAGTATTTCATTGTGCTGTAATGTTGAAGCAGCAAGGTTCTAGAACTCTTTTCCTGACAGCCTGAGGAATTTATATGATGATAAAAGCATGTTTAATGATATGAGATGATTTTTCCCCCTTTTTTACACTGATTTTTAATATATTTTATAAATTTTAACTATGGTGTACACATTTTAAAATTTTATAAAGAATTGTATTGAGCCCTCTGCCCATGGTTTCCTCTCTTGGATATTTGTTTAATTTGGAATTTGTAATAAATAAATAACATAAAATGAAATTACATAAAATGAAATAACATAAAATAAATTGAAATAGACCTTTAAAAAGTATTGGATGTATATGATGGTGTATTTCTCTATGTCACAACACAAACCACAAGGGTGGAAGCACAATCATGGAGCATTGCAAATTTACAAATATCTGTTTATATTTTTTTAATGTCTTTTGGCTAAATAGATCAAAACAAGAGTGTTGTTAAAGAAGAGAAAGCTGGGGATTCAAACCGCAACTCCCCCATGCCATCCGAAGACAGCAACAGCAGTGTTCATGATACAGAGTCAAACAGTGATGTGTCGCAACGTGGCAAAATGTCTGTTCCGAAGACTAATGACACCGTGCGAGAAAAGTGTAGAAGCATGATCGCTGCTGCCTTGAGGGTGCCTAGTAAGTCAATGAATTTGATCAAATTCTACGTGTACTACTGTGTATTATACTAATATAAAAAAGTAAAAGAATATTAATTGTGATATGTTTGTATTGAATAGCAGCCGTGTACTGTACAATATATCAGTACCAATGTATCTATCAGTGCAAAAAATATAGTATTTTGATATGAGTTCTCTCATTGAAATAGCATTTGCAGTACCCGTTGCTAATTGGGGGCTAGATTCAACACTAGTCACTAAGCTCAGTGGTCTAGTTGTTATGACAACAGACTATTTTTCTGGAGGTCGTCTGTTAGATTCCCACCGAATCCCTTGTGATATTTGAGAACATACTTGGTATTCGGTACGGTAACACGTCAAGTAGGGCAAAACATCACTCCTATAAAAAATATGGTACTTATTAACATGTATCTGAGATATGTTTATTGTCTTGTTTATGATGTGTTTCATAGTTCTATATGAATGTTTGTGATTTACTTACAGTTGATATTGAAGATAAATCTGGATTTCAAGATCCAGATGAGCTTGGTGCTATCATTGAAGATTATATCCTTTTATACATTTTAAAATGTATTAGAACACACACAAACAATTGTTGAATTTGTTCAATCTATGACAAACCATTGTGTGGGTTGAATGCCTGTAAGTAGAATACTATAAATCAGCTGTAGAGGGCTCCCTACATAATAGAAAAATGTAGTTGTACAATATATGCAATATTATGTAATTAACAAATGTAAGTTTTTTTTTTGGTAGATATGATTAAACATTTTTACAATTTTGTATTATTAATATGCTACCTGCTGAATGCTCCTTAACATGATGAGGTTACGCATTTATACTAAATTCACGAACACAGACCAGAAGTACAAGAACAAAGTGCGAAGTCGTGTATGTAATCTGAAAGACTCTAAGAATCCTGAACTTCGCCGGCGCGTACTATGTGGGGAAATAAAGCCAGAGGAAATAGCTAATATGACACCTGAGGTATGCCAGTAAATGTGGTTTTTTTTTTTTAAGCTGGATCTTAATTCCAGTAGATGTGTTTAAATCTCCATCTTAAGCCCCCTTCAGATAGACGTTGCTGCAATATTGGTCAGTAATCATGATGACATGATTGCTGGCATATAACCTTTCAAACAGTGGCTTTGTTACTGCAATATTTCCGCAATCTGACGCTTTTCTGTCTGAAGGGGTCCGGCAGATTGGCGTAATATTGGAAGAACAGTGAAAGAAATAAAGAACTTGCGCACAATCGTGCACAAGTTGAACCTTGTTTATTGGTTTTGCTTCAATGTGCAGGCCAGCTTACCCTTTCAGACAGAGCAAGGCTGTAAGCCATTACTATTTTGGCAATTATTACTAGGTGGTTGTTGGTAAGTAAGCTGGCATAGCAGCACAGTATATCAACCCTTTCAAACAGAAACCCATGCTAGTGTGCTTACCGCAATATTCCAGTATTGCAGCTGTGTCTGAAAGGGGCTTAAAAGCCAACTCAGACAGCGTTGTACGACGCAGCCCGATGCGATTTGTTGTCGCGTCGGGTCTGTGTGAGTTAAACGCAGACACGATGGTGTGCGTCGGGGGCAGTTGCATCGTAGAATATTAAACATGTTCAATATTTCTCATGACGGCTTAAGACTGTCCCCGAAGATAAATCGGGTCGGACTGCGTCGGCCGACGCTGTCTGAGTTAGCCTTTAGAGGTATAAAATTTGTGGTAAAGTATGGAAAACCTGAACATTAAAAAAAAAAATTAATTAAAAATCGCTCATTTAAATGTATTCAATAAACTAAGTGGCTTATCATACCTAATGAAAACTGATAAATTTTTTCAATTGTCTTTAACAGGAAATGGCTAGCAATGAAATGAAAGACCTACGGAAAGAATATACCAAGGAGTCCATCAGGGATCATCAGATGGCCAAGACCAGTGGAACCACCACTGACCTACTCAAATGTGGAAAATGCCAAAAGAGGAACTGTACATACAACCAGGTACAACACTATGCAGACCTTTTGACACTACATCACCTTTACAACACTGGGCAGGCCTGTTAACACTACATTAACTTTACAATACTGTGGAGTCCTGTTAAGACTATATCACTTTTACAACACTGGGCAGGCCTGTTAACACTACATTAACTTTACAATACTGTGGAGTCCTGTTAAGACTATATCACTTTTACAACACTGTGGAGGCCTGTTAACACTACATTAACTTTACAATACTGTGGAGTCCTGTTAAGACTGTATCACCTTTACAACACTGTGTAGGCCTGTTAACACTGCATTACCTTTACGGTATTGTAGGGACGTAGTTATGGTGGGTGGGGGTGTCAGGGCCACCCAGTCTAAAGCTAATTTCATGGCCCTCCACCCACCCTTATTAGCCCACTTTTCCATCCTTAAAAATTCAACATTATTATATAGATTTTACCAATGTTATCACCCACCTACCTTTAAAATGTCTATAACCACCCTTAGTTTTCTATAGCTACAACCCTGATACTGTGGATTCCTGTTAAGACTATGTCAACTTTACAACATTACATCAGAGGCCTGTTAACACCACATCACATTTACAACACTGTGCAGGCCTGTTAACACCACATCACATTTACAATACTGTGGAGACCTGTTAACACTACATCACATTTACAATACTGTGAAGGCCTTTTGACCTCACATCACGTGTACAGAAATAGTACAAGCATGTTAACCCTTAACAATTGAACATAGTTAGATTCAAAACACTCAGTGGAAACATAATAATTTTATAACATTTTTAAAACACTTGTGGAGGGTTGTTAAGCACCTGCCGCTCACCTGTACAACACTAGAGGCCTGCTAACCACATCTGTACAACACTAGTTGAGACCTGTTAACTCCACATTGTGTGTACAAAACGAGTGTAGGCCTGTTAACCACATATACCGTACAACACATTTTCTATCGATTGCTTGTAGTGTGACATTCATGATAAAATAATAGTATAGAATAGCTCTCACTGGTTACTGTACCATGGATCTGCATATTTTTCTTCGCTGAGCCATTTTCACTCTATACTGCAGTATAATTTACCATACAATTATTGAATTATTATTATTGGGGTATCAATAATATTTATTATTAATGAATTTCTGTAAAATTGTTTCTATCACATACTTTTTTGTTTTTAGGTACAAACTCGTAGTGCTGATGAGCCGATGACAACCTTTGTATTTTGCAATGAATGTGGTAATAGATGGAAAGTGAGTTCACAAAATTATTTACAATTTATATCATATTAATTTTATTATAAGTAAAAATACTAAGTGTGAATGAAGATAATGATAATGAGCCGCTATATCACGTAGTGCGAAGGTCTGTAAGCACTTTACCATATGGGGATTGCCATCCCAAAACCAGCGTACTGTTGCTATGTTAACTTAAAGTGAGTAATTAGCATAAGAATTGTATACTTCAGTACAGAGAAACCATAATACATTTACTCATAACGTTGGCAATATTAATTCGATTCCAGTAAATGACCCATCATATTAAAGGTTGTGATATGGAGAATAAGAAAATATTTAAAAGTAATTTTTTTGTCACTGATGCTCATTTTGGGATGGCAAGCCTCTAATATGTCAACCATTGGATTAAACACGTATGACACATACTCAACTCCTTTGGGAAGTACAGTATACCATAATGTTGTAACTAGTGATCAATTCATTGGTACTCAAACATACCTGACTTGTACTCTGTGGTGCAGAAAAAAACCTGCCCATGTATAAAACTAAATGCAACCTCAAGGTTGAGAACAATAGTCACACACATATGTGCCAATGGCTCCCCCACAAATAGACAAATTGTTTAGCTAATAATCTTAAACAGTAAATAGTCTGTCTTTGAATTTCTTTTGTGTATAATATAAGTTATTAACTTTCAAATAAAATGTTTACTTGGCTAATTTACCGACACATCAATCATACTACTAAATATTTTTGGAATAGACATTTAAATTAGCTAGCAGTAAATAATGGCTTTTAGTATACATTCTGTAAAGTATTTAATTACGTAATTAGTGTTTTAAATGAACAGGTCACAATTTATTTCAGTTTTGTTATTTTATCTTTTTCCATTTAGTTCTGCTGAAATCATCTACATGTCTTGGATCAAGTGATTCCCGATTACTCCAGTAGCAGGTCAGAACCGTCACATCTTTCAAAAATTGCTATGGATTGCATCTCGTCTACTGCCCTCAACCTCTAGTCATTTAGTATCGTGGAGTATTAGAATTTGTTGATAATTGCTGAATGTATATAAATGCTGTGTTTACACTCAAAAGGGTGTTATTTTAAAGTAAACAGTGTCAACCTAAAGGATCATGTTTGTGAAATACATAATTTTAAGAAGACTTTAAATGGACAATTTATGATACCTTCCTATTTAATCTATGAGTAGAAATATGGCTAGTTATATACCTGTGCTATGTGAACAACTGTGATGTTGAAGTTAAATAGATCGTCATTCAAGTCCTGTGGAAGTTTGTGCACAATAGGGCCGTAGCTTCAAAGACTGCATGTTTGTTAATTGTGCTACTGTATTTGTGAATCCTCTGCCATTTTGAAAGCATGTATAACTAGGAAAAACTAAAGTATTATTAGCTGGTGTTGAGTGGATTCATTATTATCTTTGTAGCTGAAAAATTTATTTGAAAAATACCTTTGATTGTGTAGCATAGACTTGAGGTTGTTAATTCACTTGATGGTATGTAAACATTGATTCATTAAAACAATATTAAACTTTAAATCATAATAATAATAATAATAATAATACTGTACATTGATAAAATATTGAGATAGATTGATGATTAGATTTGAAGGTAATTGATACGTGAATGACGTTGATAATGGAGATTGTGATGATGTTGGCCTATAATCCTTTATCTACAGATGATGGAGACCTCCACTTTTTTTGAATATTGATATTCAATATTATGAAATCAACATACTGTACTAGAGAACAAAGTATAGATTGAATGTTTAGTTTAAAATGATGACTGTGTTATGAATATTTAACAAGAAGCTTCCAATCATGTTCTCATCATTTTACAAAATTAAACAGAACATGACATTGCTTGGGTTTATTATGTTTACCATAGTATATTCCACTAAACTTACAAATGTTCTCATTTGAAATGTACATGGAATAAAATATGCTTTTTTCAGAATAACAGTGATTTCCATGACAACCATTATTTAGTAGTACTGCATTCTGTTTACAGCAATCTGTAAAGCTGATTATATGCCATCAAATAGGTGATGTAATAAAATCGTATTAAGTTTCGCATTATAGTTGTATGAAAAAAAGAGGTCTCTGGTGGGAATCAATCTAATACTAGTCATCATATACTAGTACTACATTCTGACTACAGCAATCTTAGAAGCTGATTATATGCCATCAAATAGGTAATAATACAGTGCTCAAATATATAGGAACATGATGTTATAAAATCGTATCAAGTTCCGCATTAAAGTTGTATGAAAAAAAGAGGTCTCTGGTGGGATTCGATCTAATTCCACTAGTCTTTCGTCCCTCATACAGCTTGTGGGCTCACACATATTGGAGCCAAAATTGAAATATTTACATGAAATAAAATTATATATATATCTCCACTTTGTGTGGGAATTTCAGTTAGTTGCATTAGAGAAAGTGCCTGGGAGTTGGATCTGCGTGTATATCCTATAGGTCTCCATGGTCTAATGGGTATGATACTTTCCCCTACTTGCCTTTATAACAAGAGGTTTTAGGTTCGAATCCCGCCAGAGATACTTTACATACTGCTGAATAAAGGAACTTTTCGGACTATGTTCGTACGATTTTAACATCTTTTTATATATGTGTGAGTGTGTGTGTGATTCTCCTTCAGTTATACGGTCCAAATTGGAATTGACCTGTTCTTTACTGCTCCAGAGGCGTTTAAACAAAATATAAATTGAATACATTTATCTCTCGAATGAATAGTTTCGTTCCTTGATAACATCGTCTGTAGGTTGTTTTGACAATGATTTTAAATTATTGTCAACCGTTTTATTAGTCAAAAACTGTTGGTGGGAGGTTAGTGAGCAACTGGACTGATAAGTTTGCAATGAATTTATCCTTTGGCGAACCAAGTACCAAACAAAAAAGAATGGAATGGCCTCTCACAGCAACCGATAAGTCACGATAGACAGTCTTCAGATCAGAGAAGAATGCCAATCATTTAGCTACAAAACTAAAAAGATTCAAGGTTTGATTGGAGGCGTTTCTGAAAGTGATTAGGCCTACGCAGTGACTGTCTATTAATGTCTATGATGAGAGGACTGAAGAGTTCATCTGGTAGGCCTACTTTTTATAAGCCTCTTGTCATTCATTACAATCTAATACAAACATGTATATTAATTCAATAATTTATTTAAAATGTATAAAAAAAGTATGTGTCGCTGTCGAGATCAACGATAGACAGAAGTAAACAAGGAACATTGTGGGTTTTCATACGGTCGACAGAAGATAGGTTTTATTTGTTTTTTTTAAATTTATTTATTTTTTTTTTTTTTTGGTAAATTTGGTACTTAGGTCACATTTTTTCACATAAACTGGTATTATCCCCAGCATATCATTAGTGCCAGTAGTGACGTTGCATAAACTGTTATTCGGCAGAAAACCGGGATCATTTTAAGAAACTCGGTTTTTCTGTATTTCATTTATATCGTTACAATAATTATATCCATGTCATGTCTCATTCATTGTAAAGCCGCTTTATTTAAGCTGTTTCAACCTTTAAATGTTTAATGTTTTGTAATTCTTATATTGTCAGTAAATATTTCAATTTCAATTTATGGTCATTTGCAACGCTCACATTACATTACATAGAAATTACTGTGGCTCTTTTTCACATAAAACCAAGTACAATGAGCAACAGACGAAGTAGCACTAAAGAGAGAGATATCAGAGTAAACAGTACAAATGATGATATATAGTAAACAAAATTAAACAATCTAATACAAACATGTACATTAATTCAATAATTTATTTAAAATGTACAAATACTGTGTGTGTCACTGTCGAGATTAACGGTAGACAATGAACATTTTGGGTTTCTATATCGGTCTTTATATGGGTTTTTTTCAAACTTTTTTTTTGGATAAATATGGTACTTAATAGGTCACCTTTTTTCTCATAAACGGATATATCCTCAGCATATTATTAGTGTAAGTAGTGACGTTGCATGGTAATGGTAATGGATGTAAAACTGTAAAGTGAATACTAGGTCTATGGGAGCGGCGACCTTAAAAGCGTGATCATCGTACAACTTCAGTTTGCATATATGAGTAGAAAGTGTAGAGGAGCTAGACCGGAAATAGGAAGGGGACTGACGACATAAAATATTCTTCGCCAGCAAACCGGGATCATTCATCATTTTTTATTTATATGGCTAAATTAATTATATCCATGTTTTGTATTGCTGTTGTGATTCGTGCTTATAATTATTTGATAAAAAACGTATGTCCCATCGGGATTTGAACCCCAGACCTTCCGATTACCGTTATACTCTTCCAATTGAGCTATGAGACCAAGTGGTTATACAGCCTTGGGATTTCCAATTAGGACACCTTTTTTCTCAAGATATTGCGTAAAACACAATGGATAATAGTCAATCATATAAAAGTAACTTTGTTATGGAGATACAACTCCACTAGTGTTTTTTAAATATGATACCGTAATAAATATCAGAGAAAAACTTCTGTCCCCCATCAGGATTCGAACCCAAGACCTTCCGATTACCGTTCGGATTTTCTGGCAAATATTTATTCTCATCTTTAAACAACAGCAATGAAGGTGTATCTCCATACCAAAATTACTTTTATGTGCTTATAATTATAAGTGTCTATGTCCGTGATGATTTGTATAGCAATATAGCAGTGAAATCATAAATACGGCAAATAACCGGAAAGATAACGTCGTGGTTAAAATGCCCTGTTGGATCAACCGGAATGTAATTCAACATAATCCCAAGACACGTTACAGCTATCATCAATTGTGATTACTATTGATATCAAAACGTGTAATAATTATTTCTTCAATCATCGGGAGTATCAGATTCGCTGTGCTCTTTCCTTTTTATATTGTGTTTGTTATATTTTCTAATATATTTTTTGTCTCTGAAGCTTTCACCGAGCGGTTTTCCGATGTTGGAATAATCTTCTTCTTGGCTAAACATTGAGACGTAATCTTCTTGGTCTCTATAGAACTGTGGGCATGTTCTACTTGTTGCAGTTTTGCTATTGTCCATCGACTGACTTGACGTAGGTCGGTCATAATTATGTGAGAAAGATGCAAAACGTGATCCCATAGACATATAGTCATCAGCATTAATAGGAGGAATAGACAATGATTCCATAGATCTAGCGGTACTGATGGTAGCTCCGGGTTGTGCGTAGTGTTGGTTAAGTGCTGACATGCTGCTGTACATTGGCAAATGATATTCACCATCTCCTTCACTCATGTCTTTCAACGACATAAAGGAGCTTAGGGATGCTCGACTGAGGCGTACCTCGGGCACAGTATATGTGATGTCATCCGTTCTTAGCTCTGCATAATCATTTTTGGAATCGTCGTTTATTTTGCCATGTTGCATGTTGCGTACATTATGTTCTACGTTAACATAATTTAATTGGGTAGGGGTTGAGCTTCTCTCACTACTTATGGTTCTAACTTGTTTAATGTCTGAAAATTGTAAAAGAACGTAGTACGATTAAAGTTCACTGATGTGCTTACTTACAAAAGTATATTTTAGTTCAAGAGTATCACACACTTGGTTGTTGTAATCATTCAATAGACTTTCATTTATTAGGCTCAAGCGACTGAATTATAACACATGTCCCGTTAATAAATAAATCTAAAACTGTATGCCTAAAAGAGAGTTTTTGCATACACAAGACTATGAAACATATTTATGTAGCTTCGGCCTTCACTGTTTACTTTAAAAGATCCAAAACTTAAAACGAACTCATCATAAAAGTTTACTTGTCATGTGTCGGTAATACTTACTATGATCTCCAGCTATTTGTCTGTAAAGCATCAATAACCTAAATAAATGTAAAATTTTACTTTTAAAACATATTTGTTTAATATTCGTGCACGCCATGTGTTATATTTTGGTTGATTTTTCAAAGAAATTATGAACAAAAAAGCAATTGTCTTGTGCTGAAATGCCAATGATGTTTATTTGCAGACCATCGGTTTTGACAAAAAAAAAAACAAAAAAAAACTAAAAACAAAAAAAAAAAACACCTACCTTTTACGATATATAAATGATATTATCAACGCAGAAATCAAAACAAGTAGAACTAAAATTGGTAAAATCACACGAGTTTTGCCATCTGAAATGAAACATCAAAAGAAAATTGACGGTACATATGGCGGTCATCTTGGACGTCATTTTTAAATTATTCGTTATTCATTGGGTCAGAGAAATCAACTGCTAAAAAGTAATTTATGCCTATTTTCAGTGTATAGGCGGCCACTTTGGATATTGACTGTTAACGTGATGGTAACGGGTATCGTGAAAATTTGTTACCTAACATTTTTCTTAACCTCATACCGGTACCTTACTAAATGGAAATCAAGCACTATCTCAATGTGGGCATTCAGCAAATCCTACGGAAATACATCTCAAACCAGACTGCTTTGTGAATTAGACCTAGGCCTATATACTATTATTGAAACTGAATTCTCACCATCGTTCCACTCTTGACAAATGTGGTATTTAAAGGAAAGAAGTATATTCCTAATTTCATCTCTGTTGAATCGTTGTAGAATGCACCAACTATTTTACCATCGTCAATAATTTTAACCTTTAGTGAAAATAAAATTATATGGCAATAATATCCGTTTGCGTCAGAACTCATAGAAATTCATAAATCTATATAAATAAATAAATAACCTGTGCAGACAAATCTGTTGTCTACAAATTGTTCGTACGTATTTTTTAACGGATATTAAAATCCATACACCTTATCATACATAATTAATGAAGTACAGTATAACAACTTAATTTAGGTTATATTTTTTAATGGTTTTAGAAGAAATTTAAAAAAAAATGTAGACAGCACCATACACCTTATCATACATAATTAATGAAGTACAGTATAACAACTTAATTTAAGTTATATTTTTTAATGGTTTTAGAAGAAATTTAAAAAAAATTTAGACAGCACTAGAGACAACATTTAGAGGACTCGAGTCCAGTCATTATTTGTTAAATAAAAATGGTTGCACACGGTTTACCACTGTACGGTAGTGGTAGCAGCCAATCCATTGAACTGTTGTTTAATTGTATAAATTAGGAGTAGAGAAAAGGGCGTTTAGTTATAAAAATTGCTACATTATCACATACTGTACCATGACATTTTTGTATTACTTACCGTTATATTTGTCGGTGGATTTGGTTTTCTAACACGATATTTAAGATTGTTAACATACGTATCGGTGTTTAATATGCAGCTTTTTTGAGACTTACTTGACGTTGCAGACACGTTGACAATCATCTTATGGTCTACGTAAAAACAAAATCCAAATTTCAGTCATTTATAAAAGTTTGTCCAGGCCCGTAGCATGACTTAATTTGTGGGAGGTTCGTTTCAGTGGAAAAGTGGACCATTTGGAAAGCAATACAGTAACGTAATATTGTTAGCTGGGAAAGCTTAAGAAATGCCGACTTGAAATACTTTTGGCTTGTATGTCTCCGATACTCTGGAGAACATCGTAAATATGTCTACGAATATCAATTTTTCGTTTTTAAATGCGGACCTTCTCCAGTTTTTGTGCTGTTCGTCGTAACCCCTTACTTACCCCCCCCCCCCCCCGACTTCCCCCACTTTACGGGCCAGTTGTCCAGTATTTGAAACTTCCTTATTATTTAATTTATTATATTTTTATTATATTTATTAGATTGTAATTAGGATTATCTGAATTTGAACATAACGCATGTGACATGGGCAATTTTACCAAACTAAAGCATTATATGGAAGGTCTTCAAAAATTAATCCTCGCGATATGACAGGCCCACGGAGATTGGGTAGGCGGCAACGTCTTAAATTTCAGGAGTGTGACAACTTTCCGAGCTATTTATGCAGGTTCAGAAGTGGTCCCTCAGAATTCAGGAACATACCTAGAATACAGGCCTATGTTACCATTCAGTTTAAGTGGTTTCTAAATCAACTCACTCTTCTACCCTAAAAATGTTCGTTAACTCCTCTCTCTCTCTCTCTTCCATATTTCTGGTTTTCACCAAATATTTGATTTTCTCTTTTCCTGCTTTTATTTTTCTTCCAATTCTTCTTTGTTTACTGTAAAGCCCCGTTCCGCAACCATTTTAGCCGACGACCCAAATTATATATCAAACACTCATACACGGCCCATCAAACCAGAAGCCAATATATCACGTCAGTCGTTTTATACGCAGGAGCGGGTGTCAGAGGAACCACCCGCTTGATTCTTTTATCAGTCAATTAAAAGATACGGTACTATCACCCACAACATCAATTTAAGACGCCTAAAAATGACAACATACGGTAACTTTGAATTACACATTCAACCAAACCACGTAAGTTATCAAATGTTTCAATAAAGTCTTTTCTTTTATTTGAAATTAATGATTTACAGAAAAGTTATTATAAATTAACTTGCTGCCAGATATGTATGGGTTATGCCAAGATATTGACACATAAAATTGCCACAATTTAACCATATGAGAGCACAATTTCCGGGCACCCAGAGGTCTTCTCTAAACTTTCGCACCTCAGCCCCAACCATGTTATCTTTATCTTTTATTACGGTTTTGATGTAGGTAAAGTAAATACATCATAAGTTTTACTTTTTATGCTACCATCACATATATTAATTACTCTATGGTTGCCGATAGCTGATAAAATAATAATAATAATAATAATAATTCTGGATTTATATAGAATTTGTTGGCGCTTCATTTTGACTATAATATCGGTGATGTGATGATGATGAATGTTACTATTTAAAAGTGTCATTTCCGGCCATGTACTATTTTCTCAAATTTTCTCACCTCAGCCCAAACACCGTGTGTGTGTGTGTTGGGGGGGGGGGGCTGATGTGGTTGTGGTCTCACGGCTTTGAAGTTGGTAAAGTAAATACATCAATGAGAATGTTTTTATTTTTTTAAATTTTCTGTACTACATCACACATACTCATTAGATCTCTGTGGTTGCCGAAAATCGCTGATAAAAAATTATGAGAATTTGTTGGCGCTTCATTTTAACTATATAATAGTGTTGTGATGATAATGAATTTTACTATATAAAAGTGTCATTTCCGGCCATGTACAGGAACTATTTCCTCAATGTTTTACATTTTTTGCGCCTCAGCCACAAACATGGTGGTTGTAGACTCACAAAATGTCCCCCACCTTCCAAAACAGCTCTGCGCCTTTGCACGCACCCCTACTACCAAATCCTGCATCTGCCCCAGCATTGAATTACCTTTAAACACACAAACAAGTTTTTTTAAATATTTCTACATGGTTAGATCAACTAGGTCTTCATATCCTGAAATAAAACTGGTCCCGGATGTGGATCACTTCCACTATTAGTAACGCAGTGGGTGTTAAAATAATATAAGCACAGAAAAACAATGCACCTTTGTGCCATTCAAGATACACCGTATGTGATGCGCTAATAACATTCAAAAATAATAATTTTAATCGTTATTTCTTTTATATTTTCATTCTTCCGACAAATGAAAATTACAAAACAAAAGAGGTTGTTTAACAAGTGCACTTGAGGATAACTAAGTAAAAGAAAAAAACTTTCATCAATAAATATGTGCTTATTTTATCTTCTTGAAAACAAAGACAATACACTAATAATATACAATTATACGGATTGAAGGGCTACAGCTAGAATATATTTTACCAATGTTGAGCTGAAACTTTTACTTTTAAAAGTAAAGAACAGGAAAATAGGCTATAATTTATACTTTTTGCATGATCATTATTGTCTGGTACCAATTAATTTAAGGATATCCGTATGCCTCTAAAGAGTCTCTAATTAGCAAAAACCTTATTGTTTCTATGTTGATATTTTTTCATTACAAGTACGTATTATAGGCCTATCTTTACCATCCGTAGCAGCGAAATTGTATAAAAACTATGTTACAAAAGATACATTATTTAATAAGCAGCTGTCTTGAACTCAAAGACAATATCGACGAAAACCAATTTGGAAACAGAAGTGACATGTCCACCTGTCATTATCTAACTAAGTTAATTAACAATATATGAACAATTCAGACAATGTTATAACACACATTACTCAGGGGCGGATCCAGAGATGTCCAAAAAAAAGGGGGGGGGGGCGAAAGTTGGGCCGACGAGACAACACCACCCTAGGGGGTCCGGGGCATTCCCCTCGAAATGTTTGTGTTCTAGATGCCCGAAAATAACATTTGAGGCGTTCTGGGCTTCTTTTTCTTTTTTTCCTTTTTTTTTTACCTCCCAAGAGAGAGAGAGAGAGAGAGAGAGAGAGAGAGAGAGAGAGGGAGGGGGAGCGGCCCCCCCCCAAATCAACCCGTGTTTCTGTTATTACAGATTTTCAAAGGCCTTTACCCTCTTAAATCGTAATAATATTAACGCACAAACTCATTGATCTTAATGTTAATACCTCTCTGCTTCCTTGGATTGAGGAGATTGGGGATTTCTTAAATAATCGAAGCCAATCTGTCATATACAAAGGTACTTTATCTGAACCAAAAACACTAAATGGAGGTGTCCCTCAAAACTAGGCCCAATTTGCTTTATGGTCCAGATCAATGATGCCTTAAATAATCTTACAAATCAACAATCAATGATTCTTAAATATGTCGATAACATAGTTATAATAAGTAACTATGCATTTTTAAATACAAGTAAGATGAATTAAAAACCACTTAAAATAAACCAATAATTTTGAATACTGTGAACTATGAGTGATGTCAGAATGAGCTTTGGTGTTGATGTGATCAATGGGGTTTTGCTTTTGTTCTTGTCCGTGTTTGTAATGACATTTTTTGATGTATTTAATATTTTCTGCTTAGGCAATTTAAAATAATGTGCAATTTACAATTACTACCTTTTCTTCCCCCGCCCCACCCACCCTTAATTGTTTTTTTTCTTCAAATTTTAATATTGACTAAGTAAAATAATTGCCGTCAATATTAACATTAACAATTTGAAATTGAATTGCACAAGTTGAAGTTTAAAAAATGTGGGCCTCAACCTTTAACTTATATATAAAAATGATTGTTATTCTATTCATAATAATCAATTTACTATTATATATATTATAATAGTAAATTTATAATTGTGACTAGAATAACAATAATTGTTATATAAGTTAAAGGTTGTAGGCCTACATTTCTTATACCTTTAACTTGTGCAATCCAATTTCCAATTGTTAATTTTAATATTGACGGCAATTATTTATAATGATAATCCATAATTAATAAATGATAATTTCTTCTTGTGTAAATTTTATATTTTTAATTGATGTAGGCCTACTGTGTTTTTGAATGTCTGAATAAATCCATGAATGAATGAATGAATATCATCGTTCTAACATTATCTAAGGTATAACATCAATATGTCTAAAATGACCTTGTTTTGATTAAGGCAATATCCAATGTTATATTGAAAAAATCGAAAAAGTGGCATAAATATTTTTTCATATGAGACCTATTCATTATTTTCAGAGGGTGACAATAATTGTTCATTTTATGCATTTTTATTCAACTCAACACAAATCTCGACCACCACGAATAAGAAAATCATGTTTATTGTAGGCCCATATATCCAACCACTGCCTACTATGCGTAAGCCTAGATCACAAAGACGGGACTTAACTTTATCGAAATGCAGTACCACTTTTCACTAGAGTTTGATTTCGATCCACACATCATAGAATCATTCTAAATAAATACACATGGTTTAGAGTACAGTACTTACATTCACCCACAGCAGTTCCAAGTAGCAAAAACAGTAGTGCGGCATTCCAAAACATTGAACACATTGTAAATTTTAGAAGCATTTTGACCGATCACACTGAAACCTTTAATGCAGTCAGAGATACGGTCAGATATTATTAGTTCATAACTCAACAACAAACGGATACGGAAGTAATTCAGTATTGAACATTATAGTTCGATAGACGTTAGGATTTTGGTCCTATTATGCATACACTTATAGGTGATTATCTTCGGTAGTCCTTTCCACATGCATCGCTGAACAACCATCAAACACCGTTCAACTATTGTTATGTTTATTTTAATAAATTAATTTACAATATCAATAATTACTATATTTCCAGCACACCACAAGCTAAAATATGTTTCTGAGATAATAAAACATCACGTTTGCTGTTTTGGCGTTTGGTGATTCTTCCAGTTATCAAAAGAATGAGAAAAAGTACTTATGCTTGACCTTCAAGGACCTTGGCCTTAAATGCAAGCTGCTGGTACGCAAACTAAAAGTTCTTATGTAGAACACAATAGTCAATGTAGAAATTCCAGATTTATTTTCATCAAACCCAACATTCACACTCTTTTTGTTTTAATTTGCATCTTAACACCCGCGGTGTCTCCTGAATATGGGCCGGGGTTCTAGAGCGTAAATGAAAATATTTAAGGCAACGAGTACCATATAGGCCCTAATTGAAAAGGGTAAATTGATTGTTTGCTCTTTAAACCTCACTATTTAATTAATTTGAAATATTGTGAATATGACCATTCGTGTGAGCAGTCTAACATGCTAATTGTTTGCCGAATTTTAAGAGTTGATCTGAGCTAGAATGAAGTCTGTTTATTAGGTGTATTAGTCTAGCTGATAATTTACATGAAATAGCCTACTAGGTAACGAACACTATGCTATACACATTTACATGTGTTTAACAAAAATGGGCGTACTACTGGTTTTATTTTGCGAAAATATAGCAAAGATTCTTTGGTACCTGGAGAAGCAGAGCCCAGCCATAATTATATAGGCCTATAATGATTGAATTGCGTGGCGCAGCGCCGTTCTTTTTAAGTACGTGGCCCTTGGTACGCCTATACTTTCGAACAGACGGTGTTTCGAAATGCACGCGTATCGGAACACACCGTTGAGAGCTCGCTAGTTAAAAAACGCATGAAAATTGGTATTTGCAGAGTTTTAAAAACTTTATTTATAATACTGTAACTGCATTTTTTCAAATTGCACCAAGCGCTGAGTCCAAAACTCTTGACAGAATGGTTAATTTGAGCCGTATATTCCTCATACTGTTTAACTTCATTATTTTGGCGAGTTACTATTATTTATTATAGAATAGGTTTAGAATTAGAAATAATCTAATCTAGCCTAGGCCTAGGCCTATTATATATTAATAAATCGTCTAAAATAGTAATGTCGGTGTAGGCCTAACCAGGCCTAGATCTAAGGGACATATGTAGAAACGTCTTGTCGGAAAAAGAAACACAACATGTTGCTGATTGGGCTTGGGACGATGCACTAACCCCACGAATACTTGAAATGTATTTTGGTTTTTATTGTCTTAAAAAATACTGCTCAATATCAACATTCCACATGATGCTTGTTTTCAGATTATAGGAATATGTGCTATCGGCTTATCGTGGTACGTTCTTTCATCTGATAGTTTACCAGCTGAACTGAAGTTCCTACAAGGAGCAAAGGTAGGCATCAGATGAGCTTAGACATTCGCAAAATTTACGTCACAGCTTATTAATATTATTACATCTTGTCCCTTATTTTTACTTAGTCCTGGTTTACTCCTACTTCTTACTCTGATAATGTTTATAACATATACATATAGGCCCTATACTATTATATATAGGCTTATATATAATATATTAATACAAACGAAAATGAAACCATTGCATACGTTGACATAATTAAAACATAAAATGTTTTCAAGACGAATATTTCTGACACGCCTGTGTC